CCGTAGCTGAGCTTTAAAATAAGACGAACCTCTCTCTGGATCAGAAATGGAAGCAAACACAGGGCACAGTCAGCAATATGTGGTGCGTAGTGGGCTTTCAGCTCCTGCTTAACCGGAATTACAATTTTCCTCACAAGGTGGGACCCAGAGCCAGACATTCGAAATCGGGGCCCCACAAAAACACACCCGGAAAGGCACACACATAGGCATGCTTATATGTGAAAGAACATTGAAGAAAGAACAGTTTGGAGTGCTGCGGAAGACTTCTGCTTACTAGTATATGCAGACATGGGCCTAATGTGGAGCCTGGGGAATGGTGGGAAGTTGGGAAAGAGAGCATCAGAGCCTTAATACCAGGACATGAACCATGCTGCCTGGTGGTGAAACTCACAACAACTACACTCATATCATTCAATGCGACTGCTGCAGATTAGCAATCTAAGATCTTGTAGCTCTTCCAGGCTAGAGGCCTGTGAATGGCAGATGGTCACTGCCACAAAACCACTTGATGGGGAGAGGGAGTTCCAGCAGGAGAGGAAAGCACACGCCATCTCTTTCAAAATGTATCTTCAAACCAAAATCCAAAACACATTAAAAGGTGCGAGAGTCCCTCCAAACTGACCATCAAAAGATGAGTTAAACCTAGATGAAAGTAAAATGATAGAATGGTACAACAAGTATTTCTTATGAGTACATTTGGAGGTGCTCAAAGACATAAATAAGAAAACACCTTTGTTAAAAAGAACAAGAAGCTAAAACACAGAAATAGATGAAGAATTGATGGATCTGAAAAAGACATCTTTGGAAATAAAAACTATCACAACTGAGGCTACGAAACACAATAGACAGGATAGAGTGGACCCAGTCACAGAAGATAAAGAGAATTAAAAGATGATTCTGAGGACTTTATTGTGCACCACACTAAGAGAAAAAGATAAGAAATATAAACGAGCAATTAAAAGAGATGGGGAATTGGCCACAAGGCTCTAAAATATACCTAATCGAAGTCTCAGAAGAGAATGGATGAAATGGCAGAGAAGCAATGTTTGAAGCTGTTAACAGCTGAAAATCTTCCAGAACTGAAGAAGGATGTGAGTTTTTAAGGAAATGGTCTCCTGAGAGAAATTTCAAACATCTGGGAAGGCAAGAAAGGCTCTACTTAGGAGCAATTGGTATTCTTCACAGCTCAGCTTTGGGAGGCCCTGGCTGATTCAAATGACCTTTTCTGTTTTTCACTGGAAAACATAAAAACTGAAATGTAATGTGTTATATATACTAAGCCATGTTTTCTGAGCAAAGGCACTTATAAATAACCTGTTAAAGGAGAATCTGTAGACAACTAGACCCAGAGGATCAAGATATCAAGGAAGACTTCTCTAAAAAATGCCATTACCTTTGTGAAAAGTAGGTGGCAAGATACTAATAATTTGTTTTTAGACATGGTCTTCAGGGTAGTATCACAATGTTTTTAAAAATAACATTGTGGATGACCCGAGAGAGTAGAAAGAAGAATCCTGAATAGGACATTACATAAGAAGGTATTACTAGTTGGAACATTTCAGTGAAGGTGATTTTTTTATTGAATACTGTATGGGGGAAAAATAAAAGATAATTCCTGTCAAGTGAAACCTTATGAACATTGGGTGCTGCTTCAAGTTCACAGAAGCATTTAGGTGATTGTCAGTTAAGTGGTCAGAAATTGGATTTAATGAATGTGGACAACTGCATACCTTGGTTCACACCCAGAGGACTTATATGCAGAATCTGGCTGAAGGTAAACTTATTTTGATAAATCTCTACTTATTACTGCTTTGTCAAAGCAGTTTGCTACAAAACAAACTGCACACACAACTGTCCTTGAAGATGGAGACCTGATGGGATTTCAATCAAGACAATTAGGTTCTTACAAGGGTATTTCTTGGATCACATGATCTCACACATCTAGAGGAAATAATGAACAACATAAATAGACCCAGAGAAAGAGAACCAGCGGTCAGACTCTCAAACCTCAGAGGGAAAGTAAGGGAGGATGGGGGTAAGGGGAAGAGATCAACCAAAGGACTTGAGTGCATACATATGGGCCTAGCCAGTGGCCATGGACAATGGGGGTTGAGGGGGGCATATCTAGGGAGGGGTTTGGGATGGGAATGGGGGAATAAGGACAATTATGTGAGATCATAATCAATTAAAAAAAAGACAAATAGGACATTATATTCCTGTAGATGAAAAAGTCATATATTGGTTTCCTACATAACTTTAAATTCCTAGAAAACTTATAACATTAGCTATATGGTAGAGCTTTAAAAAAAAGAATAGATTGGATTTTATTTCTTCTTTAATGTGAAGATACATCATTTTGAAACTAAGCATTTGGAAGACATGCCATTCTCTGCCCAGATACTGAACAACAGGAAATATTTTCTTAACAGAAAACCTGATCATGAAATTATCTTACTTTCTCCAGTGGGACAATGGGAAAACTCTTTTCACCTCACTTGCATCTCATATCTTTTCTCATAGATATAGATCCTCCACATTTGTGGATAGGAAGTTCTCTCGCCTGATGAAATACCATCTGTGAACAACAGAAATTTGTCCTCTTATTTTGGTATTTATTGTAATTGAAAAAAAGGTATCAAAGAGTTCTAATCAGCCACCAGGTATCTGATAGCAGATGTGTCATCAATGGGAACTGTATTTCCAGCAATTCTAAAGAAAGAATGAAATCTGTAATCCTAAATATATTTATTAAAAAGCATAAAAATAAATATGATTTAAGCATTCAACATGAAAAGCTAGAGGAAAAGGCATAGGGAATGGCACCACGTTATTATGGATATGAAATGAGACTAGAAGTGAAGAGCTGACCTTTCACTGGATCTGAAGACTCAAAAACATGAAGTCTGTTCTTCCCAGATTAATAGATAAATTCAGTGTAATTCAAACCCCAAATTTCACCAAGAATTTTGGTATGAAAAGGTGACACTAAAATCACAGGGAAGATCAAAGGGGTGAGAAGAACAGAGACCATTTTAAGGCAGAACAATGGGAATGGAAGGGTCTATCACACACCAGCTTATTTGAAGCTGCGGAGTGGCACCTGCATGGGGCAGAGACACACAAAGAAACCAATGAAATGGAGAGCTCAAATGCACACTGTGTGTTTATGGACTCTTGACGAATTGCCGAGGTACTGTTAGAAATCACTGGGAGGAGAAACTATATAATTAATGAGATTGGCTTAATAAGTTATCTATGGGGGAAAGTAAAAGTAGATCATACGTTTATGCCAAGCACAAAAGATTCTGTGTAAAGTCCAAAATGTGAAACTTTATGTCAGTACAAGGAAAACATAAAAAGCAGAAAATGGAGTAATATATGAAAATTTAAGTTTTTTTGGACAACAGGACGTCGTGAACAAAGTTAAAGATAAGCTATGCAGAGATATGGGTAGGAGATGATATTTGGTGTGCATATAGCTGGCAAAACAATAAGCATCCAGAATATAACCAGAACTATAATGACAAAAAGACAATCTAGAGGGGAAATGAGTAAAGAAAACGTGAAAAGCCAATTAACGCAAAAGAAGTGCAACCTCACCAATAATAAAAGATATACAAATTAAAATGCACCCATCAAATAGGCTAATGCTTAAGTATTTGATAACCCCAAGTCTTTGATGAAGATGTGGTTTAATGAAAAATCTCATTCACTGCTGGTAAAAAAGTAAATTGGTAAAACCACTTAGGAGAGAAATTTGGTAATGTGTAGCAATGTAAATGTTGCTGGAACCCCAAAATTCCACATCTAGATATGTTCTGTAAGGGATCTCTTGAACAGGTACCCAAGGAGACATGTAGAAAGAAGTTCATTGCATCATTGTAATTGTGGAAAGTTGGGAATTTAAATGCCCATTGACAGGAGAATGTTGTTGGCATATTAAAGCAGCAGAATAATCCCTTACAGCACTTAAAATTGGAAACTAGTATATATCAACATGGATAACCCACCAAAAATAGTGTTGAAGGCAAAAAGCAACTCTTAGAATGGTATGTACATTCTTAAACATTAAGTTCTTAAATATAAAGTTTAAAAACGTGAAAATAATTCTATTGGATTGAATTCCATGAAATGGCAATTTCTGTAGGGGAAAAAAACACACACACACAAAAAAAAACACAACAGCCGAATATCAGCCTCTTTGTTAAGTTCATCCTAGTGTTTGTGGATATGACCTTGGTAATGATAGACATGGAATTCGGGATGGCATTAGCTCTGTGGGGGCAATGGTGAGGAGGGACTGATATGGTATTGACCATAGCATGTTGGGGAGCTTCAGCTTTAACTGTCATATTTTATTGCTTCAAAGATGATTTGAAAACAATAGGGCAAATGTTATATGTATTAAAGCAATGTGTTGGGTACATGGGTACATTCTTTGTATGTTCTTATACATTATTGTTGAAATAGCTGATGGTTTTATATGCAAACCACCGTGTTGATAGAGGTATAAAAATTATAATCTTACAACATTATAGAGAAGTATTAACAAAATTGGTTTTTTTTTGTTTTTTGTTTTTTTTTTCTGCTGACTTGTCTGAACATAGCATTCATGAGGCTTTTCGTATAAAATAAAAGGTTGAAAAGCACCTCGCCTCACACACCCGGCAGATGCTTCTGGTTTTATTTTTATTTTTTTAGCCTTACTAAGATCGTCGTCATAAAAAGCCATTCATTAAGTGCCCCCCTCTTCTGCTTGCTCTTGTGTTTGGCGGTGGTCAGGTGCGTCTCTGCCATTTTATATGAAATCTGGTGATAATATTGAACTTACTTTTTTTCCCCTTTTCTTTTCTTTCTTTTCTTTTCTTTCTTTTCTTTTCTTTTCTTTCTTTCTTTCTTTCTTTCTTTCTTTCTTTCTTTCTTTCTTTCTTTCTTTCTTTCTTTCTTTCTTTTTCTTTCTTTCTTTCTTTCTTTCTTTTTTAATTCTTTGATGCCAACAGGAATCTGCAAGCAGAATATGATCGTCTGAAGCAGCAGCATGAACACAAAGGCCTGTCCCCACTGCCGTCTCCTCCAGAAATGATGCCCACCTCTCCTCAGAGTCCCAGGGATGCTGAGCTCATTGCTGAGGCCAAGCTACTTCGTCAACACAAAGGCCGCCTGGAAGCCAGGATGCAAATCCTGGAGGACCACAATAAACAGCTGGAGTCCCAGTTGCATAGGCTAAGGCAGCTGCTGGAGCAAGTGAGCCCCTTCCCCCCCCCCTTAATTTGGGACATTTACAAAATCGTACTTTCTCTTCAATAAAACTAAAACACAGACCCCCTTTTGAGGAGTGCCATAAGGCATCAATTTGTTGAGTACCACATATGTGCCTAGCAGTGGGCTAGATATCAAGGGCCATGAGGAGGAAAACTAGTATATTTGTTAATATTTGTTCAAGATTGTTTCCTACAAAAATGTTCTTTTTAAAAAAATAAATTTTTATTGATTTCAGAGAGGAAGGGAGAGGGGGAGAGAGATAGAAACATTGATGAGAGAGAGTCATGGATCGGCTGCCTCCTGCCTCCTACTGGGGATGGAGCCCACAACCTGGGCATGTGCCCTTGACCGGAATCAAACCCAGGGCCCTTCAGTCCATAGGCTCTGTTCACTGAGCCATCCAGCCAAGGCCAAAAACGTTCTTATTGGAATGATTTAAATTTCATCTTTTAAAAAATGTACCGAGAGATTTCCACTAGTTTTCTAAAAGTGAAAATGTTACCTCTTAAAATGGAACTCTCTTTTTAGAAATTAGTATTGCTGTAATTTTGATTATACCTTTTGGCTTTTTTTTCTTATATTTTCTAAAATGTAATTGTTAAGCCTCTTTTGAAAACCTAGTAAGATACTGCATTATAGTAGGCCCTACCTGCACGTGGTCATGGCTTGCTGAGTATGTTACCTTTTAGGATATGTTTTCTTCATTTTGCTTCACAAAAATATGAATTCTCCACTACATTTTTTGTGGCCCCACATGGTTTCCCCATTCTCACATGACCTTCTAAATATTTTAATTATTTAGACTAATGATTTTTATATCCTTTTTCACTGTAGCTGTGATCCCCCCCCCCAAACATATAACGGGGCAAATGCTGACACAAAAGCAATATCCATGGAGCTCATCAATAGTGAAATTTCCCAAATTTAGCAATCTTTGGCAGGTTTCTAAGTAGGAAAGGTCATCATTCTGAGTCCTAAGTGTCTATAATGGTTTTATGGTTATATATCTGAATGTTTACTATGAAAAATAATACTGTTTTCTTTTGGATGCATTAGCCCCAAGCAGAGGCCAAGGTGAATGGAACAACTGTCTCCTCACCTTCTACCTCTCTTCAGAGGTCAGACAGCAGTCAGCCTATGCTGCTCCGGGTGGTTGGCAGTCAAACTTCAGAATCCATGGGTAAGTGTCTGTCTTAGGTACTCCTGCATTTTGTTATTCCTTGAAGTCTGGAAAGGGTGAACTCCTTGCTGAGAGGTTCACATCGTCAGCTAAAATATCTAATATCATTTCTGGGCAAAGCATTGTGAAGGAAGAGAAAATGTTTGACGTTGTTTCCCTGGCTTTCTCACACCTTTAGTAATTTAGGGCAATCTCTGCATTAGATTTGTTGTCTCCACATGAGATCTGAAGATAGCTAGCAGATTGTCAGGACTGCAAAAGATCACTCAGTATATGAAAAGATACTGTGTGCCTTTGCAAACTCCATACATTCCAAATACAACTGAGTTTTAGTACTACTGTTGTTATTCCCTACTGCAGGGTTTTCCCCTTTTTGGAAGTAAGCAAAGCGTGTGAAACTGAGTCACCTATGTTTGCCATGAGACTCAGAGCCCTGGGTACTTAGAGGCATTACTTATTTAGGCATGTCAACACCGGCAAAGAGGCAGCGTGCCCATGAAAGCACCCAAGGTCAAGTGCACGTCAGGCCCTGGTCCTGATGATTTATTGAGCCAAGAAGATTATGGCAGAACTTGAATGCAAGGACAAAACTGCTATATTCTGGGGCCTGGCATAGGCTGCCAATATAAAATGGGTGGGCTCTGTTGTTAAGTGTGCCTTCTGAAAGAAAAAACTGAAGTCAAGGGAGATTTTTTAAATGTATAAGGCAACTTCATTTAAGAAGGAAAAAGCCCCACCCATATTTTTGAAGGATGCCCACAGGTAATTGAAACAAATGCTATGGGCGTCCTCATACTTTGAAGGTCTATGTGCTAAGGTCTGTGAACCATATTCTGGTTGGAGAGTCGCATTCTTTATTTTTTTAATTTTTTATTTTTTTAAAAATATATTTTATTGATTTTGTACAGAAAGGAAGGGAGAGAGATAGAGAGTTAGAAACGACAATGAGAGAGAGTCATCGATCAGCTGCCTCTTGCACACCCCCTACTGGGGATATGCCCGCAACCAAGATGCATGCCCTTGACTGGAATCAAACCCGGGACCTTTCAGTCCCCAAGTCGACGCTCTATCCATTGAGCCAAACCGGTTTCGGCTAGAGAGTTGCATTCTTTAAATAAACAACCCCAATGACCTTTTGAACGTGAAATATGGGTAAATTTATAGTAAGTGATCTATGTAATGAGTGAAGTGCTTCCTCAAAGCATGAAATACTTATCACTGATAAGAAAGTATCTATGTACTATATGTGTGTTTACTGGAAGGTGTCCTAATTAAGTTTACATTCTATTGAAAAAGACAGACAAAGAAATGGAAATTAACAGTTATGTTCTCTTGGCTTGCATGAACTACTCACACAGGAGCCTATGACTTCCTATGTCTAATGACTCCTTAGCTTTTGGTTTAGAACAATTTCAAACTTATGGCAGAATTGCAGTTAATTCAATGTTTTTGCCACATTTGCTTTATTTATTTATAGTCACATCTATTTTGTATATCTATATGTTCACACCTTTATATATTTATTTATATTTTATGTGCATATTTTATGCATGTGTAAAGCTTATTGATTTGTTTCTCATTTCACTAGCTCACTTAATGATTATGTTTCATACATAATGACACTTTACTCCTAAATCTTTCAACATGCATCTTCCAAGGTGAAAGATCTTTGCATTCATAACTACAATAGAATTACCACACTCAGAAAATTAACACTGGTACAATACTATTATCTAATATATAATTTAAAATTCAAATAGCCCCAGTTCTGCCAATAATATTCTGTATAGCATTTTGCTTTTTTTTTTTTTTTCATTCAGCATCCAATCAAGGTCATGCTGTGCATCTAGTTACCACGTCATTTTAGTCTCCTTTCATCTAGAACACTTCCCCAGTCTCTCCTCATGACAGTGACATTTTAGAAGAGGTCAAGTCAGTTGTTCTGTAGAATGTTTCTCAATTTGCACCTGTCTGCTTGTTTACTCATGATAGGATTAAAGTTAAATATTTTATAAGCAATTACCACATAGGTGGTGATGTATCTTTCTCAGCTCATCACCTGAAGACCACTATCTCAGCTCATCACCTGAATATTCTCTTTCCATCTCTACTCTTTCTTGGCACTACTTCTATTCCTTGGCTTCTGCCATGTTGATAACCATAAGTCCTAAATCTCTCTACTGAATGTCTTCTGCATAAAAATATAACACAATCTGAAATCCCGGTCAACTTCCAGAAGATTTCTTCCAATTTTCCAAACTATACAAAGGCAGTCATTTTCCACACTTTGTCCCTTTATCTACTTTCTTTTACTTTTTAACTTTCTTGAAGTATAATTGATATACAAAAATTGCATACATTTAATGTATACATTTGGATGAGCTTGGACACATGTGTACACTCCTTTATGTGATCATCACAACCAGGCACTAAATATATCCATCACTTCTAAAACCAACCCTTTCCTTAATTTCTTTAGCCAAGTCCTACCATCATCAATCAAATAATCATGGTCATTCTGTTTAACCTCTCTTAAAAAGAGAAGAACTCTTCAATTCAGTATTTCTGCCCAAATTTAGCCTTCATCATCTAATCAGCTGAACAGACAATATGAGTACTCTCCTAATTGGTTTCGGGTTTTTTTGTTTGTTTGTTTTTGTTTGTTTTGGTCCCTCTCCCTTTTCAAGCCATCTTCCAGATGTTTCCAGTTGCTCTCCTAACATTCAGATTGTGTATTATTCTTCTCCTTAAATATGTTTGTGACTCCTGTTTGCCTACAGAATAAAGTTCATACTCCTTAATCTGGTATTCAAAATCCACTTTCCTCTGCAACCCAATTTTTTACTGCCTTCAAACATGACCACAAAAGATCCCGAATAGCCAAAGCAATCTTGAGAAAGAAGACCCAAGCAGGAGGCATCATACTTCCTCATTTCAAACTATATGACAAAGCCATACTAGTCAAAATAATATGGTAGTAGCCTAAAAAACAGACTTATAGATCAACAGGACAGAATAGAGCCCAGAAATAAACCCATGCATATATATATAGTCAATTTATTTACAACAGAGGAGCCAACAATAGACAATGGGGAAAAGGATAGTCTCATCAGTCAGTGGTGTTGGGAACTGATATCCACATGCAAAAGAAGACCACTATCTTATACTGAAAAATCAACACAAATGGGTTAAGGGCTGGAACATAAGACTTGAAACCATAAAACCCCTGAGAAAAAAAATAGGCAGTAAGCTTCTTGATATCAGTCTTCGTGATGTAATTTTTGGAGTTGGCATCAAAAGCAATGGCAACAAAAGCAATAATAAGTGTGTCTGTCAAATAAAATGCTCTGTTACAGCAAAGGAAACTATCAACCAAGTAAAAAGGCAACCTATGGGATGGGACAAAGTATTTGCAAATCATATATCTGATAAGGGGTTAATATCCAAACTATATAACGAACTCATACAACGCAATAGAAAAAAAATTGATTCAAATATGAGCACAAGATCTGAATAGACATTTTTCCAAAGAAGCAGCACAGATGGCCAGCAGGTACATGAAAAGGTGCTTACCATCACTAATCATCAGGGAAATGCCATTTGTAACCACAGTGAGATAAAAGAATATTAGCTACTAATTTTAATATTTTTCACCACCATTGAACACTGACTAACTAATAATCACTATTATCATTGTATACCATAATTAAAGAACTTATATACAGCATTATAATGTAAAATTGAAACCATCTACCCCAAATATAATTTTAAAAAAGTAATTGAAGCTAATAGCAAGTATTGGATAAATCATTTTTTTTCTTCTGAAAAACTGGAGGAAAGCAGAAAAAACATGTCATGAAGTAATCACACATCAAGCTGGAAATTGGTGGAAAACATTATATGTGATTTAAGTAATCCAAAGTAAAGTAATGATGGTCATAGTTGTTAATACTCAGACCCCTTTTTAAGAGAAGATAATTTTCTAGTACATAGTTCCCTTTTGTATAAAGAGAAAATATTTTGCTTAGGTGTAAGCAAAATTACAGGAATAAGGTTTCTTAGGTCTTTTCTGCCTGAGTTCTGGCTAAAGTCACTTCTTAGCAAGTAGGAAAATCATCATTTGAATTAAGGGAAGGGAAGTGAGTCAGATGGGATGTCATCCTTTCAAGAAAGCCTAACAACTTGCTGAGTTTCAGACTTGAAAAAAGATCTTGCCCAGAGCAAACCATTCCATTTCTTTTCCCCCCAGATTAACTTTGAGTCATTTCACTTCTCTCTTTTCTATTTCCTCAGTGTCTATCACATTATGTTATATCAGGGTATATTTTAACTTTGATTATGTCTTTCCTTATTTTGAAATACTCTTTTAAAAGTATTTCAGTCATTTTGGGCCAACTTCCAACAAGCTACGACAGTTATAGCTAGCTAATAATCAAAAAAGGAGTTTTATGCATGTTTGTGGGAATCACCTTGGAGTAGAATAAAACAGAAGTGTTAATTCTAAAGAACTGCCATTGGCTAAGTTTGAAGTCCCTTGACCATTAGCAGTATACTTTTGAGCAGGCATTTGCTATTTCTTTTGTGTGATGTGTTCTTCCCTTTCAGCTATCTACATCCTTAAGGTTTTTGCTCAACTACACCTCAATGAAGGTTTCTAAGATTCCCCTTTCTGAAAATTATTCCTCACTAACCCTCTCTTCTGTTTACCATCACCTGGCATACCTACGTAATTTGCTTGTGTATTTGTTTAGTCTGTGTGCCGACATAAGAATATAAGTTCCATGGAAACAGTACTTTTGGGTTATTTATTGCTATAACTCCAGCACTCAGAACACTGTCGGGCATGTAGGTGGCCTTTAATAAATATTTGAATAAATAAACTAATCTTGTTTTAAATTTTATGACTTTTTTTCAGGTATTTAAAATCTAGCTGTTTTAACTCTTCCAGTGTAATGTGACATAGAAATATTAGGGTTTAAGCATTTTCAGTGTGTTGATTCACCTGTATTCATGCATATCTGGGATAAATCTAATTTTGATTTTTAAAAGGCAGTTAAACCCAAAGGATCTTTTTTATTTACTGAGAAAATCTATTAGAAAAGAAGAAAACAAAATTATACTTTGTGTATGTACTACCTAGGATGTAACAGGGACTCAAAAATGTTTGAATGAGCACATTTGTATCTGCCATGAAAGTTTTCTATTAAAACATAAGCCGCCGAAACCAGTTTGGCTCAGTGGATAGAGCGTCGGCCTGCGGACTGAAAGGTCCTGGGTTCGATTCCGGTCAAGGGCACTACCTTGGTTGCAGGCACAATTCCTCTCTGTGTAAAAATCAATAAAATATATTTTAAAAAAACATAGAAGCCAATTTTACATTTGTACTTAGCCACTTATATTTGAGACTTAAAGAAAGATGATACTTTATCTGTAGAGATGAACTTGGCTGACATCATTAGGTTTATACTGATTCTTGAAATAATTCAGGGAGAGGAATGCCAGTCACTTCATTGAACTGTGCCTGAATCTTAACACAGTACAATTGAGTTCCTAGAGCTCCGATATGATGTAATTAAACTGTCAGAAATGTTAACATCGTTGCTCATGAGTGTGTCTGTTGGTTCAAATTTATTCTCTGTTAGGCATACTATCACTGCTGTGGACTAGGTGCCAGTAAAAATGCCTCATGTTCTGCAATTGGGCAAAACTTTGCATCAGTAATGAACAAAGGGATGTAATCAGCCTTGTAGCTGTCCAGCAGGTACATCAAAAAGTTGCTTAACATCACTGACATACCTATGCTAATAAAAGTTTCCCCTTATTAGCCTCCAAAAGCAAGACTCAAGATTCTGAATTTCATCTTTTTCATTTCTAAAAACACAAATATAAGTCCAGTGGATATATCGATAGATAAATGGATGGATGGATGGATGGATGGATGGATGGATGGATAGATGATGATAGATAAGATAGATAGATAGATAGATAGATAGATAGATAGATAGATAAATAGATAGATAGATAATAGATAGACAAATAGATGATAGATTGATTGAGAAATAGATGATAGATACTGTAACTTCCTTTTCTACCTTATGACCTGAATTGTTCAGCACTCATTTTCCTGTCCTTATATTTCCAAGAGGCTTCCTATGGTATGCCACCATGAGCCTCACAGAAGCAAAGTCCTTAATCCTTCATTCTAATAATGGTATACAGTCTCACATCCAACTGGGATATGATTTTATCTTTTTTAAAAAGCTGTTTTTTATTGATTTCATAGAGGGAGAGAGAGATAGAAACATAAGTGATGGGAGAGAATCATTGATCAGCTCCTGCATGCCCCATACTGAGGATCGAGCCTGCAACCCAGGCATATGTCCTAACCTGTAATTGAACCGTGATCTCCTGGTTCATAGGGCTGACCAGGCTGATTTTTGTCTTAATAGTGAGCACTGCCAAGCATTCTTGAAGATTGTGCTTAAAAAACAAGGATGAAAACTTAATAATAAATGCAGGATTATAATCATAGTTGAAAATTTAAGTGGCAGGGACCTTAAATATTAGCATCTTTAAGTCATTATATCACTGACTCTCCAGTCATTTCCCAATCAGATGTGAACCTAGGTTTCCTTCATTATTGTAGACTTGCTGAAGCAAGGTCTTATTTTAGGTAAAAGTGCCAATATGATGGAAGAGAAGTTATTTTCACTATTATTATAGAAGACTGAATGTTATGAAAAACTAGTTTCCAAGGACCTTCAAAGTTCAAAATAATTATGTTTATACTTAAGAAAATTCTCTCTTACTGAAATGCTGTTTGAGGTGTATTTCTTTAACATGAATAAACGGAGAACACAGATCAACAAAACCTACAAGGAAACTCATTCCCTGAGGAAGACCATCCATCCCTATATGTCTTGCCTTCCAAATCACCATTCTCTCATATAAATTCTCAATAACTAAAAAATTTTGTCCTTATTAGGCTTTAAAAACAATATTATGATAAAGTAGCCCCATGTAATAAAGAGGAAAGGAACGTAACTCTCCACTATTCCCCATATCCACAGTTCTTCAAATACTACTATTAATATTTTATCACCTATATAAGTCACATACAACTTTTATTTCTCCCTGTTACACTGGACTTTAAAGGTACTTCATTTTTGGTTAAATGTCAAAGGAAAAAGTGGTGAAAATACTCAGTCTTTCCACTCCTTTCTTTCTTACCTTCATAAATGCACAATGTCACAGTCTTATTTTATTTTATTTTTTGCATTGAAAGGACACCACAAGTGTCCAATAATAATTTTTTATTACAAAGAAAAATGTCTCACATTTGTTAATAGCATACAAGAAACCTATGTGAACTTTATCTTAAATTTTAAACAGATGTACGATTTTCTTCTGCAAAGATAATGACAGATAAACCCCACATGGAATTCTTCTTCCCTTAAAAAGTTGTTCCCTAATTAGTAAGCTTCAAGGGGTATTTTTATTTATATTATTTTTGAATAAGTTGAAATAAATTTTAATGGATTTTTAAATGCAATCATGGGCCTTTACTCTTAATACCTCTGATTTTTTCCCTTAAGTATAATTGGCCATTGTTTGTGTTTGCTTTCATTTAAGGCGAGGAAGATCTTCTGAGTCCTCCCCAAGACACAAGCACAGGGTTAGAGGAAGTGATGGAGCAACTCAACAACTCGTTCCCTAGTTCAAGAGGTAAGCTGCACTATCGGGCAATAACTCAGACTTACTGGAGTCAGGCCACTTATCGGAAATACCCAGCTAGTATGTCCGTTTTCCACGTTTAATAAACACATGCTGACAGAATGCCAATTTGGGATCACCATGAAAAGATTTTACTTTCAAATGTGAATTTCTGGTTTGGATGAATGCATTTTCTGGTCATAGATGCTGGTTAAATTTAAATACCTGTGTAATCTAGATGATGGTAGAAATATGGAATACTAACTTGTATTTCAAAAGTATTTTACTTGCTTGGCACATTACTTTGCAGAGTTCATTATGAGGTAGCTTTTACATAAGAGCAATTCTGTAACTTTTACAGATGAGGAAATTAGTGTGCTAATGGTGTTTTTGCCAGGGACATACAGTTACTATACAATACAGTGAGTCCAGGACATGCCTGGTATACAGTGGTGGTGGGAACTCTTGCAATTTGATGCCCTCTATATTTAAAAATTGTGTCTTATCCCATCATTTAAATATAAGTAGATCTAAATTTTTATATACTATTTTGTTACTTTTTTTAACTTCCATAGATGGACTACAACCTTCACAAAGTAAAACATTAACATTATTAATGCCTTTAATTCCTTTCTCCCCATCATTTTGACCTTGTGTACTTCGCTCCTCGTTCAAAAATAGCATTTCCCCCCAACGCATTTCCCCTCCAGCCAGTATGAGCTTTAGATGTTTTGCCTCCTCCGAGGAGGTACTGTGCTGCTGCTAATTTTTTGGAGTTTTTCTTTAAGTTCACTGCCCGGACGTAAAACAAAGTCACTGACCCACTTCCCTTCAGTGCGTAAAAAGAATGGAAGCCATTGCCTGTGAGCAGACAAAGGAAAGCCTAGAGAAGCCAAAAGAGGGAAAACAAGGCTTTGTGGCCAGTGATTGACACCCCTAATGGGCAGCCCAGGAGGGAAGGTCTCCAGAGAATCTGGCTATTTGTCCCTCTCCCTAAGGGCGCTGACGAGGGTGTTTTGAGTCCTACCTTTTTGTTCCCTCGGTGCACAATGGCCATTTCCTAGCTACTTGATGTATGAGTAAACGTAGTGCAGTGCACATTAAAAGCAATAATGTTCTGATAGAGGGTTGCTAAGGAACCGTCAGGGGAAGCTAATTTTAAACATCTGCACCAGCCATCTTTCTGCCACAGAGCATCTCTGATATGTTGATTCTCACAGATAAAAATCTTATCTGTCTTCCTCCCACCCCACACCCACCACTCCCATCCCCATCCTGACTATCTTAGCTGTCTTCTCTCCCCAGATGCTATGAATCATAATGAGACCATATGCCAGTTTGACATAAATCACATGCTTTCACCTTTATCCTGCCAGCTTTGACAAGCACCTACTATGGACCAGTGGAGGGGGTTAGGGATGCAAAGAAGAAATGCCAGGTTCCTCATCATCTAGGTGCTCGTGGTCAACAGCGACTGTAGATTTCCAAAGTTCAAATCACAGTGCTGTACTGTTATTGCTGTAACGGAGATGTCTACAACATGATGAATCCTAAGAAGCACCCTTTTAGATAAATAGGAGGTTAGCTTCCGACTGAGCAAGTGTCTTCTTCCATATCACACAGCTACTGGTTGGGCAGGGACTTTGGGCCTCAACATCTCACACATATTCCATGGACCCCAGGCTTTCCCTTGAAGATCACGGACACTGTCTCCTCCCAGCCCCTTAAACTGAAAGCGAGTTACCTGCTCTGTGGGAAGTTAGTGGTGATATGTTGGTGCCCTGGGCGTTTCTTGCACATTTAAACAACTAGAAGAGAGTAGAGGAGAGGCCAGAGCAGGGCTCATGGCTCATTTCCCATAGCAGCCTTTCATACTGGGTCCCTGGTCCATACTAAGTGTCTTGAGGTGAAATCCTCAGCATCCTCTCCCTGCATCCCCTTGCAGAGTCCTTAAAGCTGGATACCACATGGGTGTGGAAGTAACCACCTGCAAGACTAGAAATATGCTTCCTCTGCTATGATAGTTGGTAGTTCGCATCTCTGATGCTACTTGTGTGATGTGAATTTACTTATATGGATACTTGGGCAACCATTCGGACAGCCTGCATAGTGTTTACTAAATTAGCACTTATGGAAGCAATATCGTCTCCTGAGTGCTAATTGGAATTTTCAAATATGCTATAAGGAGGCTTCATCTGATATCAATTCCTTTAAGTAAGTTCCTACTTATTCAATAGTACTGTCATGGCCTTCAAAAATTAAGTCATTTTCCTGAGGAAAACACAATCAAACAAAAATAATAAGAGAGTAGATAAGGAACTAGATCTGCCTGGTATTTTGTAATGCTATGACGTTGACATTTTTACCTTTCTTGCTACTTCCTGCCGAACTTGGCCTTATGATAGGCCTTTTTATGATTCTGCACCCAATTCCAGTGGGTGGGGGTTTCCCCCACACCAACAACAGGCACTTCTCTGACACCAGCTGGGAATCTTACAGTGCAACTCACTTCAGACACTATCTACGTAGAGGTCGCATCACATCCCACAAGTTCATGGCTCCGTCCTACAAAACTGGACACCCCTCCTTGAGTTAGATTAACGTTCTAGAGTGGCTCCCAGAACTCAGCAAAAAATGATTTGCTTATTAGATCACCTGTTTAGTAGGAAAGCATTTAACTCAGGAACTGCCAGCAGGAAGAGATGCACAGGGCAACGTATGGGGAAGGGGCATGGAGATTCCAGGGCCTCTGGGGGCTCCACTCTCTCTGAATCTCCATGTGTTAATTAACACAAAAGCGGCCCAAATCACATCATTTCAGATTTTTATGGAGGTTTCATGACATAGGTCGCATTGATGAACTCATTGATGAACTCATTGGCCAATGGTGGTTGATCCTAATCTTCATCCCCTCTCCTAACCCTGCAGCTCTTGGGGTAAGATTGAAAGTTCCAACCCTCTAATCAATAGTTGGCTCCCCTGGCAACCAGTCTCCATCTCTAGGTACTCATTAACATAAAATATACCTTGATGCTTCTCATCACAGGAAATTCCAAGGACTTTAGCATTTCTCTGCCGGTGAAATATATATATCTTATAAGTGACAGCACACTTTTTCTCTCCAAATTCAAAGGATAACAAGTGTCACTGCAAAAAAATATCAATATACTCCCCAAAGTGTATTTTGTACGTCTTTTTTCTAACTAAAAGCATTTCTCATTTTTAAAGAATAGAGAAAATATAAATACATGTTAGAGCTTAATGGGAACATCTTAAGTTAGTAGGTATGTTAAGCTGATATTAAGCAAAAAATCCTGAGAGTTCAATGTTCTTGGGATTACAGATTCTCCCAAATGGAAGGGCCTTGAACAGTGCCTTTAACATCTTTGATGTCCAAAACAGTGGCTTTTGATATTTTTTGACCATTATCTATAGTAAGAGAAACATTTTACATCTCAAAATGGGGTGAAGCTATCAAATAAATTATTTATGTGTAGTTATATAAACACATATGTATACACCACACATACATGTTTATAGTACAGGGTGGGGAAAAAGTGGTTTACAGTTGTGAGTATGAGAAACACAGAGTTTATTCTTATAATATTTTCCATATGAACAACTATAAATTTACTTTTACCCCACCCTGTATATACAAAGACCAGAAGCAAATGTTTCAAGCAGCAGTTCTTACCATACTACATATAATTCACACTATTCCTATATGTTATCTACTGAAAAATAAACTGCTGCTTGCAATCCACTAAATTGATTTTCTGATCCAGTGATTTAAAACATATTGATCTAACTAATCTCAGTTTTTCTTACCCAGGTGGATATATTTTTAAAGAAAATGAAACTTTAGAATTTTTACTATGCAAATTTCTGCCAGGATCTTGGTAATGCCTTAGAGGATATTGTGCTTTGATTCTAAGCCTGCCATCCATGTTCCCGTTGTTGTGTTACAAAAAAATGAAGTTCACGGTTACTACAGCTGTTTCGGACAGCTGTTTGAGTAACTCAGAACAGATGTCTGAGCCCGAGGTCTGACATTTAGTAGAAATGTGCTCTTAAATACCACCTCGTGGTTTACTTAACCCTGCTAGATAATTGCCCACAGAGGGAAATACTTTTTTAAAAAAAACATGTTTTCCACAAATATAAAGCATATAGATAGGGGAGTTACTGTGTAATTTAAATTTACAATCTCTTTGCTATCCTCGGCCACAGTTTTGACTTAGAGGTCAAATCTTAAAGTATCAGCTAACCTTCATATTTCATTTTCATTAAAAGTACCTGGAAGCCCAAAGAAGTTAAGTGCCTGGTTCATGGCCATTCAGTACGTTAAATTAGCCTCCTAATCTTCTCTCAGTGGCCTTACTCAACTGTTATTCAAATTAATAGAGGGGTTACATTCTTCTCCATGTAGCGGTAAGCTGATGGCAAAACTGTCCTGCATAATAACCAATATAAACAGCTGGGTGTTCAAGGTGTGAATGGATGCACATTTAGCTTTGTGATTATATCTTTCCTGATTAATCTCTAGATTTAGTTAGCTGTTCACAGCCACTTGGGGATTTGAGTGGCTCAATGTATATTAAACATAAGATATTAACCAGTTTCTAATTATCTATCTATAATCTGTCCACCTCTAAAAGTATATTTAGAAGTTGAATTCCACTGTAATAGAAATCATTATCTACTGGAAGTACTTTCTAAATCTCCACCATTATTCTTTAGGAACAGCACATTGGTAGAATGAACAATAAACATAATTTTAAAGTTATTTGCCCATACACATCTGATCATTTAGCAGTCTAACAGAGGTATTTTTATATGCATGCACATTCATGAAAGAAGTGCTTCCCTAGTCAGCAGTATGATATTGGGCTTTCTCAAAATGAGGTGCCACTGTAATAGATTAATGAATTCGAGGATCCAACATAAGCTCTTAGTACAGCAAGATAATTCAGGAAGCAATTAGCAATACTACGCAGGTATTTTTGCTGCTTGTATAATCTCTTACCTGCTGACCTGTGCCACATAAATTTTATCCCCAACAACCCATGGTAGCCTGTCGTTCTCATACTTCCTGTCCCTTCCAAATAAGCTCACATAAATTATGTGACATGCCTCTAAATTACCAACCCAACAGCTTTGCAAAACCTGCCATCCTTTAAAATTCAAGTCTTATCTGCGAAGGTCAACATCAAGAACCAGGACAGAAGCAGGAACCATTGTGTTTCCTTTCTGCCTCCATGAAGGATTCTAACTCTCATTCCTTTACACTACAGCCCATGGCTCAGATCCTGGTTTTATAAATAAAGTTTTATTGGTACAGATCCATACCCTTTCATTTACATATTGTTTATGGCTGTTTCTCACTATAGTGGCAGAGTAGCTATGGTAGAGCTGAAAGTCACACCAGGGATGGTGTGGCCTGGGAACCTAAAATCTTTACTCTCTGGCTTTTACAGAGAAAGTTTGTCAGTCCCTATTTCACACTCTTATTTTGTTATCCATTCTAACTCATTACATACAGCCACAGGCTTAGGTGCTGATCAACTTTGAGCTCATCAAAACTGCATTTGAGACGACTATGCATTTATATCCCTGTTCATCAAAGACCCAGCATGCTTCAATATATTTCAAGTATGACAATTGGAATCTTACTTGTATTAAAACAGAAATCCTAAAAAAGGAACTATAAGATAAAGAAGCCAATGGTACCCAAAAACTGACATTAAATTAAAGAATTACAACCAATCATCTTACGTTCATACTGCCTGAGTAAACTCGACTTATCCAGACCTGACCAAGCCCTATATTTAGACTCAGGATGTGCTAGCACATTTCCTTTTTTTCTCTTGATTCATTTCCTGACAACATCCCACATTGCCAGATGGACAGCCTAAGTGAATGTCTAAGGTACCTCATTGCCAAAGAATGTATTTATGAAATAAAACTTTGCTCTGGTACTTATATTTCTTGATTGATAAGTACTTTTCTTCAATATTGCATTTTATCAGTATAGAACTATGCTTACTACAGTGGGAAACATTTTTTGACTTTTTTAAAGAAAAAGAGGGAAATCCTTTTGTACCATGCTAATAAGCACATTGCACCCCAACGATGAGGGAGGCTTTTGGAAAAGGTCAGGGTTAACAAGGCTCTGGGAGGCTCATTTATATACAATACAAGTTCTGGAGAAGTACCTGAAACAAAATCCAAATCATTTTCTGCATATTCGGCAGTGCCCAGTTGATACTGAGCTCTAAATATGGCTTGGTATAGAATGGATCAAGATATGCAGCATTTATCATTCAAGTAATGGTAATTACATCATATTCCTTTCTAACAACACTGTCCTTCATGAAAGTTATGAACTTCAAAAAATAAATCAGAGAAACAAGCCAGAACAAGTTACCAGCTCTTGTCATCCAAGCTAGACGGTAGCACACAAGGCCAAGTTGCCTAAAACACCAAAGGACTCATGGCCATGACCTTGTGGCTACCTTTTTAATTCACTTAAACCAGAATTTATCAAATACCCATAGTGTCAGGGTACAATACAAAGTATTACAGATAGAGTGGTGGGTAAGCAACACGTGGGCCCTGCCCTTGAGATCATAATCTTTTAGGGGAAAGAATTTAATTCTAGTACTAGACAGTATAACTATGAAGTACAAAGGTTAAAAAAAAAAACTTGCTAAAGGAGTCAAAAGGAATGGGTAAGTCATGCTGGTATTCTTTTATTCAAGAATGAAATAAAGTTCTTTTCTTCCTTTTTCCTGCCATTTGGTATGGGCCTACCACTGGGAAGGCTCGCTTGAGAAGCTAGCACCTATTTCTCTCTTTCCTGATTAGAGTAGGGTCATGAACACTTTGACATGAAGACATGGTCAATCAAGCAGTTTTTATACCCTTGAGATTCTGGACTCGGGAAAATTCAGAAGGAAGGAAATGTGGGAGGGAGGGAGGAAACTCATACTAGAAAACCTTTAACTACATACTAGAAGTTTTGAGCCCTAGACTTGAGTTTTGAAAGATTTGTTTTTTAATGGTAGCTCTATAGTTCCTCATTCTAAAGTAGTAGTTCTCAAATTGTTACAGGGAGTTTTGGTCTTGGAGCTCCTGAGCCGGTGGGTCAGGTGTGCGGAGGCATGGGTCTCTCACAGTTCTGCTTTAATCTGCTGTAAATACTGGGATTTTGTAGAAGATTTTTGCTAAAGTCCAAGTTTTAAAACCAGTAGTATTTCATTTTTAAGACTCGGGAACTAAAAGGAAATTGCATGCTCAAGGCATGTAGTATGGTCAGAGGGCTATAATTTTCTGTCCAATTGTATTATCATAGAAAAATTCCTCATCAAAAATTGCTTTTGAAAAATATAAGTACATACGTATAGATGTGGGATTCTCTAAAGCAAATAAGGCCAGTGGGTCTTTAGCCATGGACTCTCAAGGCTCCTAATAACCGCTGACATGAGGAAGTTGAAGGCTTATTCCTGGCTCCGGCTCTGTGGCTTGCCCATTACAGGGCTTGATCTTCTTCCCCCCTTTTTTCTTTCTTTTCCTCAAATGCCCACAGTCCCACTATGGGCATGCTCAGATTCTACCAGGTGGAATAAATTCTCCAAAGAGGATGGAGTCTGTCATCCATGTGATGTTCTGCTTTGCATTTGGGGTGCGGAGTTTGGGCACACAAAGAAAACTGTTTATGTTTCTGTGTGTTGATTGTCAAGTCCAGAGTAAAGAGATTCTGAGACTTTTGAAGTTAAGCTTGAGGTCCTATAGTTGCTCTTAAAAACAATGTTTGATTTGTCAGATTCCTATGCTGTGCCAGCTTTCATCCAGTTTTCCCACGTGACCACCATGAATTCTATAAGTACTCTCTCCTGAATCATGTTATCTGTTCACACTGATTTAAAGTGTGTGTAAAGGTTATTTGACTGGATGTGTCTTTTGGGTTTTTTGTTTGTTTGTTTCTATTTTTTTTCAGAAGGTAATAAATGAATTGTCATCTCAACATTAGTTTGGTAAAAGTAGTAAATTGGTATGAAACTGTATATATATGCATGATTTTTTTCCCTTTCTGATATCTCTACTTCTTCCTCTTTCTATTATTAAAGGAAGAAATCCCCCTGGGAAGCCAATGAGAGAGGTCAGTGAGATTCAGACTCACAGCCATGGCTTCTGTCCGTCTCATCCCGCTTTCTATGTTTGGCGTTTGTGTAAGAGTTGTGTGCGTGCACGCGCATGTTTGTATTACACATGTCATCGTGTAAGGATGGTAGTCACCTCTCCACTTGCAGCTCATGAGGAACAGTCCTCAAATATTCATTGCCATTGTCATCACCATGACAACAGGACCATGGGTCGGGGAATACAGGAATCTCTTTCAAATGGCAAACCTCTGTAGTCCCTGCGTCAGAAGCCTGCAGGTCATCATCTGTTGCCATTTGCAACACAAACAAAATCTTCAAAATAAACTTAGCCTTGGACATAACTACTTCCAGGACTCTAGCATTTTCTGCCAGTGCATTTGGTTTGTATCCTTTTGGGATATCTTCGTTTTGTCTTGTTTTCCTTTTTTTTTTCTCCCCCTGGGTCCCTACACTCTTCCTTTCCCACTCTAGCACTTACTGTGCTCCAAGCACTGTTCTAAGTATTTCCTATGTATGCTTCATGAGAAGCTTATGAGGTAGATACCCCTATTAACCCCATTTTACAGATAAGGAAAGTGAAAGGGCAGACTGTGCCCAAGGTGACAAGAGTTTGAATCCAGCCACTCTTAACTCTGATGCTTGACTGCCACGTTAGAACATGGTGTTGGAAAGGCTTGTGTCATCTCTACTCGCCCCTTAGAGGATGCTTATTTTTTACTTGGCATTTGGAGCCAGATAGAATGTTAACCAGTTAAACGTAAAAAATAAATGTTGGGAGTCTTAAGAGTTGTTGGGGTTTTTTATGCCTCTTTTGGTGTTAAGAGGGTAGGATATGGCATTATCACTGTATGTAGTTTGGGGTTTTACAGTGAAAGCTCCTTCATACTTCCACCAGAAATATTATCTAGACATTGAGTTACCTAATCAAATGACAATTGGATGACAAAGTGTTGAGTGACAGCCCAACTGAAGTAAAATTGGCTCTACCAAGAGTTTAGTGCAACTGAGAAAGAAAACCCTCTCATGGATGGCAATAGCATGTACTCATCTGGGAAGCAGACTGGATGGGTGGAGAGTCCTTATGAGAGAAGGTTTTGGATCCTTAGTAATAGGATGGACAAGAGTAGCCACTCGTTCATTTAAATATAAGGAGTCATACTAATAAATAAATAAAGGATAATTGAATGATCCTTCAGTGTGTCTATACCAGTGCTCCTTCCACAGCTTGGGGCAGTGGGCTCCCAGGGAGGGAGTGGTAGCTGGGAGGAGAAACTGAGGACACTTGAATAGGTGAAGCATTGAATGATCCTGACAGTTTGCCTGGCTCACATACTTCTTATATGAGACCTCCAGGGTTCATTTTTCTGGTAAGTGCTCCTTAACATTTATTTTAACTTGTAAAAAGTTGCACCATAATCTTGACCACCTGTAAAAAGTTGCACCGTAATCTTGACCACCCTGAACATGTTCTCTCATGAATGATTGTTAGAAAAGGCCAGCACATATAATTGAAGTCATATATGCATTTGGAAGCTTTACTACCTGAGGCACACAATAATCGATCAAGTTTCCAGAGAGCCAGAGGAACAAAATAATAGTGATCTTTTTAATGCTATGAAAATACGCCAAATGTATAGTAGACCAGCTCTTCCCCACCCCCCAAAGATTAAATTATAGAAAAGGAAAGATAAGCAGATTTCACTGCAGTATTCTGGCTTTGCTTTGGCCATTTATTTGGGCATTATATTTTTAAAAAATAGAGTGCCAGATTGCTATTGAGGGCTTGGCTCACTGCCAGAAAGTCTCAATTCCAATCACTGCGGAAAATAACTCCCTCAGGCAGCGGTGGCGTGTGAGACTGGATGTGTCGCAGTTAGCGCCAACTTGGAAAAACATACCACTGCCCTAATGTTCAACGCATGGTGCCTTTGTGTTCAACAATCCTTGCATTAAAATGGATTAAATTAATACTTTCTACAGATGTATTTTGTTGTCAGCTTGTTCCTGGCGCTGATTATAGATGCCTGAATCCTGCCTGTTTTTCAGTGCCTTTCGCGCTCTTAATATAAGATTTTAATTTTGACTTTAGGAATACCTGTCATGTAAAATTAATGACCTCTCTAATGTTCTGCTTTATGCACTGGACAATAGAACCAGAGTACAACTCTATTTTCTGTATCCATAGTAGAGTGCAGTTTTATGCCTCCAATGGATTGAGATATAGGATTCTTTGAGGCAGTATTTTGTCAAAGAGATTTCTTTTCTGGCTCTAACGAAAACATCAATGAGAAACATTGGAATCACTATTCTGGTGAAACAAGTATTTGAAAATAAAGTGACCAAAGGCATAATGTAAATATGGTGAGGTGACTGAACATCATTTTTCTAGCATAAGGACAGCCATGAGGTCATTTGGTGAACATGAACAGTCTAGACAGGTTTAAAGGACACCTACCATTTTGTAGGTGTGTGTATGGCATAATAAGAATAATGAGGAGTAATTTACCAGGTAACTTTTTCAATAGCAGATGTACCTAGAACTCATGTCTTTTGAGAGACACAAGTGTTTTCTGTTTGGGTAGTAACTGATCACTATTTCAAGGAGCACAAGCACCACTTGGTTATATACAGTAAGTCCTCACTTAGCATCATCAGTAGGTTCTTGGCTTTATGTGAAATTACATATGATGAAACCACTTTCACCATAGGCTCATTGATATAAACAAGAGTTGGGTTCCTACAACAGCTCATCAATGTTATAACGAAACAGCGGTGAACAAAATGTTATTCAAGGACCTGCTGTAATCTAGAAATGGATTTACTTGTCTTTATTATCTTTAAACTGATAAGAACAGATACTACACTTGATCTTAGCCAAAAGGCCGAGAAGCGATGTCTTTATTATCTTTAGAACTGCAATCTGCATCCCCTAGCAAACAATCTAAAAATAGGCATGTTTTGATTATTAGCAATAAGCCAATGGGAGAAAAAATGAATTCTTGCCTGTTTTATGTTTGTAACATTTTTTATCTACAAGGTGGACTATACGTGGGTAATGAGAAATAGTTGGAATTCTATTCAGATACCAAGTTGGAAGGATCTTGAGTTTTGTTTTTACTGGCTTCACTAATTGCTGTTAAGATGGCAAGTAATTAAGAATGTACTGTTAGCCTATCCATTTTCAATTATGCATGAATAATTGCGATTTCCCAGGATTGCATGGCAGTCAAAAATAGATACAAGGGAAGTCCTCTAACCTAATGACATCAGTTATATATTTGTGTTCTAAGCTCAAAAGAATAGCAAAGGACCCACTGTCTTCCTGTGGTTATTGATGACTATATAATATTAAATATTTATAAATATATATCTATATTTATTATATAAAAATCCAATGACTATTTCAGTTCCACTGAAGGCTGCCAAACACTTGGCCCGTTCTATAAGTAGTACATATGTTTTATTAAGTTTTTATGTTTGCAATCTCAACCAAAATCCATAGTAATTTTTTAAAAATATAATTAGTTCCCACAGAAACTCTTTGCACTGATAAGTTCAAAGAGATTTTTATAAACTTGATCACCTTTTAATGGCTGAATGGCATTACAGTTTCAATAAGTCTTAGTTTGATCTGGTGCCATCACTGTGTAAGTGTGGCCTATGAATATTCTCCAGATCCTCTCTCTCATATATAAAAACGACATCTCTTGAAATAAATATTAGAACAGAATGCCTGTCCTAGTCTATCTTTAATTTTTATAGAGATTTTAACAATTACTATGGCAATCTGTAAAGTGGATATTAATACATGGCAAGGTAGTAATAGCCCAGTAAAGCATTTTTCATTTCCAAGGCAGTACTTGAATAGTGAAATGACTTACTGATGTCCAAGAATTAAAATAAGCCATATAAAAATATGGTACCTACATGAAAAGTCAAGCTATACAGTATGTCTCAAATCATTTTACTCTAGATTGGAATTTTGCCACAAAGTACCCAGGGATATTGTGCTGCCTCTGTTTTCTGTGCTGGGGATTAATGCTAGGTCTTGTCACATTGTTACTAAAAGGTGATTGATAGTTAACCCCTCATTTAGGAGATCAAAACTCAACTCACAGGATGCTCAAACTCATGTGGATCATATTATAATTGGGCTCCAGAGTAATTTGGAATGGAAAGTGATTTTTATTTTGAAGCTTTCTAATTCAAACATTAATAGTGTACAGAAAAGTCCCATCAAGTTTCTTTTTCAACCCAGGTAAAAGCAGAAAGCAAATAGTCACCTCCACCATAACCTCAGAAAGGATATATGCACTCCAATGTTCATAGAAGCACAATTCACCAAAGCTAAGATTTAGAAACAGCCTAAGTGCCCATCAACAGGTGCATCTACACAATGGAATACTACACTATGGTTAAAAAAAGAAGAAGAAGAAGGAGGAGGAGGAGGAGGAGGAGGAGAAGGAATTCTTACCATTTGCTAGAGAGCATCATGCTAAGCGAAATAAGCCAGTCAGAGAAAGATAAATATCACATGATCTCACTCATTTGTGGAATATAATGAACAACATAAATTGATGAACAAAAACAGACCCAGAGACAGAGAAGCATAGACCAGATCGTCAAACCTCAGAGGGAAGGTAGGGGAGGGTGGGGTAAGGGAGAGATCAACCAAAGGACTTGTACGCATGCATATAAGCCTAACCAATGGACACAAATGCCAAGGGGTTGAGAGCATTAGTGGGAGGATGGGGAAAGCAATGGGATAAGGACCATGTAATTCTTTAATCAATAGAGAGGGGGAAAAAAAGAAGCCAACCGCTTGAAACAGCGTTGAAATGAAGATTTCATGTTGTGGTAATGGTGGTAGTGTTGATAATGGTGATGGCCATAGAGTGGCAATGGTGGCAGTGGTAGTGGTGATAGTTATGGTGATGGTTGTTTGATATTAAAAAAAAAAAAATCTAGTACTAGGAAAGGGTGAGATGTACCTGTGATGAGGAGAATCTTTTGCTTACCCATGGAATACTTTTTTTAAAATATGTACTATTAATTGATTTCAGAGAGGAAGGGAGAAGGAGAGAGAGAAGCATCAGTGGTGAGAGAAAATCATTGATCAGCTGCCTCCTGCACACCTCCTACTGGGGATCGAGCCTGCAACTAGGCATCTGCCCTTGACTGGAGTCAAACCTGGGACCATTCAGTCTGCAGGCCCATGCTCTATCCATTGAGCCAAACCAGCTAGAGCAGCCATGGAATCTTTTTGCTCTATATTGAGAAGATGAGTGTGGTCTTCGACATTTTTCTACTCAATGGCAACCGTAGTCTAATCCAATATTCAGCTAATACTAACAACGTGAAATGGCTTCATTAACAAGGCTTTGCTTCTTCCTGGAAACTGGTGGAAATCCAACCCTGTTGTATATACCCTCGATGCAGCTTCTGTGTTGTCCTCACCAACAAATGGGGAATGGTTTCCCACATGGCAAAAAGCCGGGGGGTGATGCCTGCACCTGTGTGAAGTCTCTCTCTCTCTCTCTTTGTTTTTCCAGGACACAATGTAGGAAGCCTTTTCCACTTGGCAGATGATTTGGGCCGAGCGATGGAGTCCTTAGTTTCAGTCATGACAGATGAAGAAGGGGCAGAATAAATGTTTTACAACTCCTGAATCCCGCATGGTTTTTATAATATTCATACAACAAAGAGGATTAGACAGTAAGAGTTTACAAGAAAAAAAAATCTATATTTTTGTGAAGGGTAGTGGTACTATACTGTAGATTTCAGTAGTTTCTAAGTCTGTTATTGTTTTGTTAACAATGGCAGGTTTTACACGTCTATGCAATTGTACAAAAAAAGTTATAAGAAAACTACATGTAAAATCTTGATAGTTCAATAACTTGCCATTTCTTTATATGGAACGCATTTTGGGTTGTTTAAAAATTTATAACAGTTATACAGAAAGATTGTAAACTAAAGTGTGCTTTATTTAAAAAAAAAAAGTTGTTTATAAAAACCCCTAAACACATACACACACACACACACACACACACACACACACACACACACGCACACACAAACTTTGAGGCAGTACATTGTTTTGCTTCCTTTTAGTGTGATATCCATATGAAATTCATGGCTTTTTTTTTTCTTGCATATTGAGATAAGACTTCCTCTGACACTACCAAATGACTGCTTCACATTGCTCACTTGAGAGTTGTTGACTGAGTGGAACGGGCTGTGGGTTTTGGGTTTTCGTTGTACACATCTATATGTCTATAAGTATGCGGATACTATAGGTATATAGATAGACCTATAGGAATTTCTAGAGACCTTTTACATTTCTTGTTCAAATGTTCCTGCCACTTGCTAATGGCAAGAAATTGCTTCTGGTCATTCAGCTTACCTGGTCGGCTTTCCTGGAGCCTGAAGGCAGAAGGAAACGACCACACTAAACATTGTCTGGGGCTCCAGATGTTTCTCATTTGGAACTTTCCACTGACAACTAGAGTATTGCATTTTTTTGGCAAAAGGAACATGTGAATGAGTACACAGGACTTATTATGTCAGAATAATGCATTGGTTGATATATACAGCTTCCTGCTGTTGGCAATGCCACAATTTAGACTTCATGGTGCTTCAGTGGAAGTCAGAGCATCAGAAGACATTTTAAACGCCCAGAGGTGAGGAGGGCTCTGGGTTCTCAGCTGATCCCTCTGAGGGAGTAGGCAGGCCACTCTTGAAGTAAAGGATTGGGTGAATCTTCATAACCATACATAGAAATCTATATAATTACAACTAAATGATTCTCTTCTCGCAACAGCAGTGGGTGTTTTGGTTCTTTTCCTTTTTGTTTTAAGCTTTTTTTTTTCTCTCTCATTGCAGTGAGTTTTAAATGCCATAGGACTTATTTTAAGATAACCCTTGGAAAAATGTAAGACAGTAGCCCCATCACACTGTGACACTGTTAAATATCCACCCAGAAGTTCGTGAACTGTGCTTCTCTCCTTTGCATTTGTCTAAGTGAGGATGAGGATATAGGTTCGGATGTTCCAGAAGGCACTGCAATCTTTTTTGGGTGGATTAAGCAAGTTAAATATATAAACAAACATTGTTCAAAAAGAGGAGAAAAACTCAAGAGGACTAGCTGGTAGGAAAAAGCTTTACTCTTTCATCTTATTAATCTTTGCTTTAAAAATTTTTTTCAATAGAAAGCACCATGTGACCTATTATTTTGCAAATCTGTTACCTCTTACATCAAATGTAATTAACTTTTGGAGTGTGGGTTTTGTCCCTTATTTTATTATGATAATTAACATCAAACATGGCTTGTCATGCTATTTCTACCTCACTTTGGTTTTGGGGTGTTCCTAATAATTGTGCAAACCTGATTTCACAGCTTCACCACTTGTCCATTGTTTGAACATTTACCCCCATTTTCTTTCTTTATAATTTCCAAAAGAAAACCCAAAACTCTAAGGTAACAAATTACATTAATATTCGGTTTGAGTCTTGCATTTTTCCTTTATGTAACGCTGGACTTCTTCTTTTAAGAATTTTTTTTAACCACGATTTAAAACAAGGGGTTACTTTACTTCCTACTAAGAAGTTTAAGTTTTATTCTAAAATCAAAGATAGAGTGAGTGCATAATTTTGTTTTAATCTTTTTGTTTTAATCTTTTAGACATTAGTTTTGGAGTGAGTCTGGTAAAATATATGAATAAAAAGTGAGAGCTTTATTGTTATGTTTTAAGCATAATTTGGACATTATTTCGTGTTCTGTATAACCACTGAGTGTTAAAAACTAAATCATAATCAATGTAACTGAAGCATAAACATCACATGGCATGTTATGTCATTGTTTTCAGGTACTGGGTTCTTACTTGAGTATCATAATACATTGTGTTTTAACACCAACACTGTAACATTTACTAATTATTTTTTTAAACTTCAGTTTTACTGCATTTTCACAACATATCAGACTTCACCAAATATATGCCTTACTATTGTATTATATTACTGCTTTACTGTGTATCTCAATAAAGCACGCAGTTATGTTACAAAAAGTGTTGATTGGATTGCTATATTTTGTTTTTATTTTTACATTGTATTGATTTCAGAAACGGAGAGAGAAACATCAATGATGAATCTTTGATCAGCTGTTTCTTGCACACCCCCTACTGAGGATCAAGCCCACAACCCAAACATGTGTCCTGACCAGGAACCAAACTGTGACTTGGTTCACAGATCAATGCTCAACCACTGAGCTATACCAGCCAGGCTAATTTAGTTATTTAATTTTAAATAGGTCATTCATGCATCCAGTTGAAAAATGAAAAATCTAGAAGGCAAACAACCTGTTCCCAGATCATACTCACTGACCTCTGAGTAAATATTAAACATTTTTTGTCAGCTGCTTCAGTGGAAGTCAGAGCATCAGAGCTAGTACATAAATTTCTTATGTATCCTCCCAAAATATCTTTATTACAGACATGTATTCCTCCTTTTTTCCCTTTCATTACACAGAATATAGCATTCTATTTATATACCTTGCTTTTTTAAATGTAGCATGGGTTAAAGCGGTCCATTCTTAATGATATTAAGGTGAATCTTTGCAATATATAAAATGCTTCCTCACTTTTTATAGCTGCATAACACTCCACTGTATATGGGATATTATTTAAGCAGTCCCCTTTGCTGGGATATGTGGGTTGTTTTCAGTCTTGCTATAACAAACAATACTGCACATCTCTCATTTCTTATTTGACTTGTGCGAAAAGATGGGACACATTCCCAGAAGTGAGATTTCTGGATCAAAGGTGGCAAGCATTTGCAGCTTCGGAGACCATTTTTGTGCAACTGTCCTGTCATTTATTTTATTGTGTTAGTAATAACAAGTGTAAGAATTGACCAGTTTGCAGTTTACACTTTGCTTCTTGAGAATTTCATGTCATTTCTATTGTTCATGGTACCGAACTTAAGGGGACATCTGAGTAGCAGGAGTCTAACCTAAAAGGTTGCTGCAGAACTGATTCTGGGGAGGGTACCTCTACCATACATAGTCATGACTACTATCAAGAGGTAGATTTCCCTCATCTCTGTCCTTCTTCGCTTCTGCTCTAGCTGCAAGGGAGGCTAGGGAATGAGTAGCAATGTCAGCGTCTCTAGCAAGAGGTTGTCTTTGTCTCCCACCAGGATTCATGATGAGGAGTTCCCCAACAGGATTCAGATGCTAGCCATTCAAAAAAATTACAAAAGTTCACTAGCTTTAGCCTATTCTAATGGTTTTGGAAATAACAGATGGTTGAGCTCATTAAGAATGATGTTAACTGAGTGTGACATCTCTGACGAATCACGAAGTTTTTGCGGGTGGAGTGATAATGCCAACTTGTGACTATTACATTGAAAGACTTCCCTTGAAGTCCACATATGCCAAGATTTTTATCCTAATTATTTTTAATATTCATTTACTGATTTCAGTAATTCATTTACTGATTTCAGAAGGAGGGAGAGATAGAAGCATCCATGATGAGAGAGAATCATGGATTGGTTGTCTCCTGCATGCCCCCGACTGTTGATCAAGCCCACAAGCCAGGCATATGCTCTGATGGGGAATCGAACCATAACCTCCTGGTTCATAGGTTGACACTCAACTGCTGAACCATTCCAGCCGGGCAGTTTTTATCCTATTTACATGAATACATCATTTATCCTTCCTGCCATTCCCCCAAACCAGCCTTTGGTTGAAATACCAGACTGGCTGTTTTGAATGGCATTCAACTAGGGAACTGAGGAATTTTAAAAACTTCACCATGTCTAAGACAACTGTGTGTGGAGGACTCCGAGGAGGGCATTTGGCTTTCTGTTCACACCTGGCACAGGCTGGAGGGGAGGGAATTATTTCAGTTAAAAATTAAAATGGATCAAGCTGGTGCAGATTGTGCACCAGCAAGCAAAATGTGTTCTGGGGAGAAAGCATCCAAACTAATGGATGTGTTCTGTTGAGCTGTGGTGGGATTTCCCTGTATTTGTAATGCTCTCATGGAAGGAATACAAAGGCAGCATTGGCACACTTGCAAAGACTTTGCCCTCAAATTACATGTAGAAAGGACGTGAATTGAATCCTTTCCCACAGTAGCATAGCCATTCGAGTAGGAACTACAAATATAGTATTCTCCATTGCTCCTTGGCCTTCAGAGTTGCTGTGAGCTCATGGACTTATTTGACAACGTGAGAGCAGCAGCATGCCAGACTCTGTAATGTGTGAGTGTGTGAGGTTTGCAGGTGTCTGAGAGTGGCTTTTGTGTGCAGAAGAGATTATCTACGGTAAGTTGAGGCTTAAATTCTATACATCTATGCATACATACACACATGCGTGTACATACATTGAGTAGCCAGATTATTATGATCTCTGAACGCATAATAATCTGGCCACTCAGTGTATATCCTATATAATAAAAGGCTAATATGCAAATTGTCCCCTCTACCAGGAGTTCAACCAGTAGGCAGGCCAGCCAACCACCCATGTTCCCTCCCCCTGACCAGGCTGGCTGGACCCCACCCATGC